AGGAAACTTCATAAAGGTCCAAATATATAGAAAAAAAACTTGTCCAAATTATTCAATTCAGAATTTAAAAAAAGGAAACTTAATAAAGGTCAATTATTGTATTATAATAAAAACAAACAAACTTGTCCAATTATTCAATCAAAATTGAAAAGAGGAAACTCAATAAAGGCCCAATTATTGTAAAAAAAAAAAATTAACTAATAATTCAATTCAAAATTAAAAAAAAGGAAACTCAATAAAGCCCAATTATTTTTTAAACTTATAACTTAAGTCAAGTAAACCTAATTGAATAAATTAGGAAATAAAATGCATGGGAATGATATATTTAACGTCAATGCCGAAAGTGCCAGGATATAGGACCGCGCTCTGTATCCCTGCTCTCTCTCTCTCTCTCTCCCACTGTCTTTTTCTCTGTAAGTTTGTTCACTTTGAGCAGTGTACGTAGTGGTTTTTCTTTTCTGGGTTGCTGAGAATTTATTGGAAATCAATACTTGTGCTTTTTGGGTTGTTGGGGGTTGACTTTATGATTCAGTTTCTGTGAGATGACATTGACAGAGCTGTTTCTTCTCTTTTCATTATTTTTCTCAGAAACCAAACATAGCTTTCTTTTCTGTCCTTCTCTCTCTCTCTTTTTGGGGTTTTCTTGAATCATTCAAGTTGAATGTGTAAATGTGCAACGTTCTTTTGCAGGAAATCTGCCCGTACTGATATCACATAGCTGGATCAATCTGACTTCAGGTTAACCTCTCTGTTTCTCTCTAAGAAGTACTCATGGATTCATATTGCCAATTCTTCCAGCTCTGTTTGTATGCATACAAAACTATTTGTTTTTTATTTATTTATGCGACATGGACGTAATTGTTGCTGATATTTTTGTTTTTGTTTTCTTTAAGGGTATGGATTACGAACAATCATTCCTCGCAAACATCAAAAGTGAACATGAAACCAATGGTGATAGAAGGTTTATAATCGGAGCTTATTTGAATTCCTTTGAGTTTACTTACAATGAGTTAGCCTCTAGCAGCACTAGCTTTAAAGGAAACTTATATTTTGAAGGTGACAATGAAGCTAGACCTATTACATTTTGTAAGCTAGATCATAGAGGTGAGGAAGAAGCTAAAAATATATTTAATCTAACTTCTTTCATAAGCGATCATCGAATTGTACGACCTTGGTTTGCAAAATTAATTAAACAGAAAGATATTTTGCGTGCACGCGGACGCGGACGCAGAAGAGGACGAATATCCAATTTTGATAATGTAGAGAGCTTTTGGACTATTGCCTATGATCACTTTGATTTTGTGCTACATGACGGGTTGGATAAGTTGGATCGTGTTAAGGATCCGATCCACAATGAAGGCGCACTCCTATGGTGGCGATCTGAGATTAAGTGAGTATACTCCTTGTTATATATGTAGATGGGCTCAAATTATTTACGTATTGTAATTTATGTGTTGTAATTTGTAATTATGATGCAGGGCTCTACTTTGTACTATTCGCAATATGCATCGTAAAAAACTTATGCATGGAAAATTGAAGGATATGAAGAGTTATGTTGTAGTTGGAGATGAGCAAAAAATGAAGATAATCAATATTGAGAATAAATTGACTCGTGATAAAGAAAAGCTCCAAGATTTAAAAGACTATGTTGCGAGATCTATCATGTTGTATTATAGGAGAAGAAGCTAATAATTGGAATGATCTTACCTTGTTTTTGAACTTCTTCGACAAAGGCTCTGGATATAAGTAAGTTGTAATTTTTTAATATATATATATATATATTCGATCATTTGTTGTTTTAATTATATAACTATTGTGTTTTTCTTTTTAGGTATGACATTTTTGTTGATCAACTTATAGAGCATCCTTTCTTGAAAACCCCTACCGAGAGGATTAAGTTATATGCTGGTCTTCATCAGAAAATATTGACACGAACTCTTAGAAGATTTCGTGAGTTTGAGCAATCGAAAAGTTTTGGTGGGTATTTGCCATGGAATACTAAGAAGATGGCTGGTTGGATGACAGATATTTACGATCATAAGCATGCTATTAAATATGATGGTAATCGTCCAAAAGATCTAATCAGATTTGTCAAGAATATAAAGAATCACTATGCTAAGAAGGGGGTCCCCATTCAAGTTGTTGATGCGGAAGTGAGAAGGCAATATTCTGAGTTTTTCAATGAGGTCCATGTCTTCTCATGAATGAAGGTATTTTTTTGCCTTTGTACATACATACATGCAGTATTAAATTATCTTGTACTATTGTGATCAATAGTGAACTGTCAACATTAATTAAAATATTCTTTGATTTTGCGATATCGGTGTAGGCGATATGGACGCTTCTCCACTGACAAGGACATGCTACAAAATTGGATTACATGAGAGTATGGTAAGGTAGGGCAGGGCAGATTTGGATTTGCAGTTGTGTGCCTCTTTCTCTTTGGTGAAGACTCGAGACAAGGACATGCTAGCCAGGGGAATTTCTTTTTGCTGATATAGTTGATATTGCTATCATTTGTTTTGTTTTTTTCAAGAGCTATCTTTTGTTTTTGTAAAAGATAATGAATGTTCCTCGTTTAGGATATGTAATTGCCAAATAAAGTATATGGGATAATTTTATTATACGTATTTCATTCTTTAAAAGAAGGTATTCATAACAAGGGAGACTCTGGGTAAATGCAGGCAAGCCGACTGCCTAGGGTCTCCATTTTATATAAACCTCTGTATATATATATATATATTAATTGTACTATAGTGAACATTAATAATATTAGGCCCAAGTATTGTTTATTAAAAAAAAAAAACCCAATTATTCACTTTAAAACTAAAAAAGAGAAAACTTATTATAAAAAGGAAACCTAGTTCAATAAAGTAACCTACTAGCAGCATACCTTAACCCAGAAAAAAAAATACAAATTTATAAATAAACCCAATCCTAGACATGTATTTATAAAAAAACCCAAGCACTATTTAAACATAGAAACACACCCAAAATCAACCACAAAGTCAACTTTTTGGGTGTGTTTAT